GTCAACTTGAACTTAAAATGTTCCCCCCCCCCAAAAAAAAGGAAAAAAGGAAAGCCTTACAAGAAAAGGAATATATGGAATATATGCAATCCTGGTAGCCAGTGAGTTAATGTTCATTTGCAGCCTGAGGGGGTCAGCGTGCATTCTCTGTTTCCTGATTGGCTGCTAAAAGGTGAAATTGAAACCACTGTAAACTTTTGACCCTGTAGCAATTCTTGTGGAACGCCTTCCACTGGTGGAGCCCAGAGCTTCACTCACCTCCCCACCCAACGCTCCCACCCCCTTTCCTGTATTTATTTTGTGTGATCGTGCAGCACTGCATACAGTTTTTCCAAGAGAGGGGGGAGAGGGAGTCAGAACAAGCACGGGCAAGCGGGTTGCTTGCCTGTTAGTAACCATGTCATTCCTAACTACAACTCAGCCAAAGATAGAGGGCCTGTTAATAAACTGGTCTGCCAACTATAGTGGCTGTTTATACCTTAATCTCAAGGTAATTTTAAAAATGCAGAATGGTTATATTTACTGCCATTGTTCATCAGTGGATAGTTTCGTTGTGTAAGCAAAATGTATGGCACGATTTCCTGGATATGTTGAGTTAAAAATAGCTTTCACTTTCAACAACCTTCATACACCCATTAATGTTTTCAGTGTCTCATGTAATTTTTACACAAATGGCTAACATTTTATGAAAGTTTTTTCTTCTTTGTCTTTCTCTTTTATTATGAAGAAACTCTCAAATGGCACTTTGGTTATGATAACTATGGAAAGTAATTGCAGAAATTATCTGCATATTGGAATTTCATTAATAATTCTCTCTTTTTTTTGGCTGAGGTAAATGATATTGGATTTGTCTTGCATTCACATTTAAATTGTGCTTTACAGTCACCACAACAGTCTTGTGAAACAGGCAGTTCTTCTCTTCTCTCCTTGAGCGCTGTCATCAGACTCTGTCTTCAACTTCTGGTTCTTCCTTGTGTCCTGGTGTCTGGCGCAGTGTAGCACGTTGATGCTCAGTAGATGCTTACTGAATGAACACAGTGTTCATTTCGGGAACTATAGTGGCTGTTTATACCTGCTTCTCCTTCCCTAATTAATGGCAGGAACCATATTTTGCTTATAATTCTGAGGGTCACTGCAGCGCCAGGCATCTGATAGGTACAGAGCAAACGTTTAATTGAATTAAGTGCCTCACACAAGGTCACTTAAAGAAGCTGGACTTGCAAAACCTAGATTTTTCTGAAACCAAGGTTTCTGTTTTCACTGCATCATTTAAATTCTCATGTTGACTCCATATAGAACTAAATATTTATTATAATTTATTAAATGACTATGTAGAATAAGTTAGTATAAATCAACTTGGTCCTTTCTAGTATATATCATAGGATAAGTGATAATACATGTCATTTTTTTAAAACCCTATTCTTAGTTTAAGAGACATGCATATGGTGTAATTTGAAATAATTCCTTCCCCTCTTGTCAAAAAGATTATTGTATTTAAAAAAGTTTGTCATCAACATATTACCAGTGTTCCCTTGGGTACCAAGTATGTTTTTACTTATTTACTTGAACATGTAGTGATGGACTAAGTAATAAATAGTAAGAATTCTTTTTACTGAGTTACATTTATATGGCTTCAAAAAAAGTGTCACTTTTCTATATAATTTTAAATTTTCATATGATTTTTAACTGACATCCGTTTTTGCCTTTCAGTATAGCTACAGATTGGTTGCAGTTGACTGTTGCAAGTAAAATCTGTTGGTACAGTTTTGACAACGGATGTATTTATCACTTGATGAATAATCTCAACTGCCAAAGAAGGTTAAATGTAATTTACACCAATGTTATGTAACCTTTAAGTAACCTGAAATTTAACTGGCGCGCAAATTTATTCTGTAGTGCTTTGAAGGTGAACAGGTAACAGCCGACTTTTCCCAAAGATGGTGATTCCCCATCTCTGTGATTTTAGGGAACTGAGGAGGGAGTCCCTGGGAGCACTGCCTGCAGCAGCATGGCGAGAACAATGAGTTTAATATGATTGGTAGTAGAGTCCTCGCCGCCTTCCATGTTCAACAGCAAAAGAAAAACATGTTCATAATATTCAGTGGCCTTCTTTTGTCCAGTTGGTGTTTCCAAGCATCAGCATTATATAGTTTGGATTTTCCTCTCTGTCAACTCCCCTCCCCCAGTTTGATTCTTTGTTCTGGCCTGGAGGCACATCTTCTCAGACTAGCTATTAACAAAGCTCAGTTTGATGTTTTCCTCCCCATTAGCTTTCTAGTGATGCAGGTTTTGATAAATGTGGATCTCATCAATCACCTTTTTGTTAATTCTAGTAGAAAAATTAAGGTCCTCCTCCTGCCCCCTCCTCAGATATCTAGTATTTTGGGGATGTGTCATTCAGTTTTTATGTCAGTGTGATTTGATTTTTGTATGTGTAATTGACTAAAGTCCAAATTATAAAAAAGAGTAAGAATAAGGTAAAATAAAATACTTTTGATACAGGTAAAAAATACTGTCCCAGGAAATCTGCTAGGACTGTTGTTGCCTTTGCAGAATCTTGGTTCTAGACAAGTTAACTGCAGTTTTCCTAACTTCTATACTTGGCAGGACCCTGGTATAGTACTTTCTACCATTCACCCCTTTGCAGGTTCCCTGATAAGCAAGCCAGTCATTGACCTATGACTGTTTGGGGACCTCTCTAGTCCAACTGCACACTTCCTGGGAGGGGAGAATTTTGTAGATGGGGTTTCTTTGGATCCTGGCGGTTATGGGGTATGGATTGGCTGGGTCAGCACTCGTTTGGGTAGTTCTCACAAGCAGTACAGTTATACTTGAGTATTAATATAGGCTCTCTTGCCGACCTTCCACACTAGGCAACAGTACTCGTTTCTTGGGTCAGTTGTTATGGTACTACATACATTCTGACTCAGAGTGCTTATCCTGCCCACTTTTGTTATGTAGGTACTGACCCCACTCCTGTTATGTAGGTACTGACCCCACTCCGTGACCCCGCCCTCCTCCATTAAAAGGAGCAACAAGAAAAGGACCGTTTCTGAAGTGAAACTTGTTTTAAAACCAGGGCCAGAACACTCTGGATTTTCTTTACAGAAGTTCTATTACCTTTTCCCCCTTCACCTTCTTGTAATTAAATTGGTTATCATAAAAATTCAAGTTATAAAACATTTAATTCATTTAAAAACTAAAAATAATGATTGTGTTTTCTCCTATTTTTTATTTCAGTGTGCTTGCAAATTCTTAAGTTATATTGTGTGTCAAATAGTCTTTTGTTTGGCTAATAATAGTTTTTATTTATCGAGCATTTATGTACTGGGTACTAATAAGCAATTTAAGGATTTTCACTTAATCTTCACAAGAGCCTTATGAGGTATGATCCCCATTTTAAGATGGGAAATCTAAGGCTTGAAGAAGTCTTTTTTTTTTTTAAAGATTTTATTTATTTATTTTTCCCCCCAAAGCCCCAGTAGATAGTTGTATGTCATAGCTGCACGTCCTTCTAGTTGCTGTATGTGGGACGCGGCCTCAGCATGGCAGGAGAAGCGGTGCCTCGGTGCGCGCCCGGGATCCGAACTGGGCCGCCAGCAGCGGAGTGCGCGCACTTAACCGCTAAGCCACGGGGCCGGCCCAGGCTTGAAGAAGTCTTAAGTTGACCCAGGGATACCTAGCTAGTAAGTGAAAGAGCTGGGAGTTGAGTTGGATCTGATGGTCTCCATAGCTTCTGCTGTTTAACCATTATGCTAACAACAGTTATACTATCGTGCATTGGAAGATCTATTCCAAGAACCAGCTTTCTTTGGCATGTATTTCTGTTATAAGCTGGAGACTATACGTGATTATAAATAGACACGTTAGTAGATATATCAGCTGTTTCTATAACTTTAATTGCATGGCACTGATACACTATCTGGATTTTCCTCTTTTCCATTTGTGAACCACATATGGTGTGCTTTCCCCCCTACCCCCCAATTTTCTCACCTTTAATTTGAGTTTTAAAAGTGCAACAGACCCTTCATATCATGCAGCTAGATTGTGGTTGGTTGTCCCCTCTGTGCTCCACGTGATTGGCCATGGCTGTAATATGTTCACATATCACTTGAAACTTGTGAATATATCATTTTTTCTTCCACCCTTTCCCAACAAATCTGCCAATTCCAGCATGAATGCTGTTAACTTTGGGGCGTAGGTATGGTTGTTGTCTTGCTGTAGATACAGTGAGAATTGATGGTAGTCAGACTGTTGCTTTGTTACATTTGGAAATTCCTAAGGTGAGGGTTAATGCTTTTATTGGCTCCCTTGTTTGTTGCACCAGGGCTTGCTCCACGTTTCCTCAGGTGCAAAAGTCTGCTGTTTATATGTTCATGTATTTTATTGCAGATTATTTTGAAGAACTGCCCCTCATTTCCCTGTTTCTCATTTAAAAATATTTCTTGTTGGTGACCCAAATGCAGCCTTTCCTAGAGGGAAAGAAAACATCCAGGGCTTTTTTCCTTTTTTTTTTCCCTTCCTTGCTTGCCTGTTTTATCCCTCCGTCCAGTGGGTATTTATCTTTTTTGGACTCGGATATTTAAGCATTAGCTTCTGCCAGGATATTAATATTGTTTTTCATTGTTATTTGTTGAACATTCCTTTTGGACAGGTGGGGACATCCCAAGTTCAGATTACTCATCCAGTTTGATCACTTTTCAGGACTTGGAGCCGGTCTCCTCCACCTCACTTTGCATTATCCATGTTTACAAACTGTGACAGAACATATTGTGTATGTCGTGCCTGACTTTTTAAGCAGAAGTAGTAATATATGGCAAAATAAGGCATCAGCTCAAATTCCTAGGAAGAGGCCTTTTACTTGATAGCTTTTTTTGTTTGTTTCATATGTCCAGGGAAGGGAAAAATGGGAAAAGTCAATTTGTGACTAATAATAACACTTATATTAAGAAAGGGCAATAAAATGCAATACTTTTTTTTTTTTTTTTTGTCCTCAGGATCAAAATACTTGCTGAACAGTGGAGTCAGAGACCAATAAAAATAAACTCCTACTTGAACATCATTTGACTGGTTAGCCAGGTAATTGAGTTTTACTTTGACTTGATCCTTTGTAATTTTCTGACTTTACCCTCTGAAGATGCTGCCCTCTTCTTTGGATTTGTGATTTAATCTTAAGCTTGTTTTATAGTTCATGTTTTTCTCTTTAATGGTAATATTAGTGGAATGAATGAACAGGCTTGGAATGAGTGAATGTATATGTATATATTCATATATGTATGTGTATATATATGTACACCATCCTAACTTTGGGGAGGAGAGGAATTGTATGTTACAGTTTAATATGAGATACTACCCTCCTGCCCACTTTCTCCTTATATGTGAACATTTTACATGGCATTTAGTCAAAATCGGAACCAGCCCCACCTATTTTTACTATTTCACCTTGTAAAGAGTGGTTTCCCAGGTTGCTTGTGCTGGCATATGCCGTTTCCTCTAACTCCTCTCTTAACTTTTATTATTGTGGCAGAATAGGAAGAATGAAGATGGAAAAAGCTATCTGATAGCCAAGAAAGCAATTATGCTTTGCTTAGCTAGGTAAATTTCTTTCTGTCAGTAATACCATCATTTTCTTAGTTAGCTGGGCTTGAAAAATCTGAGTTGTCTTTGAAGGCCCCCCCCCAATACATTTAGTAAATAGGCTGTATCTGGTTTTCTATTTTCTTGTCTCTTGTGTTTGTGCCACTTTCTGTTACTAATCTTAGCTCCCTAGTCCAAGACCCCATAATTTCATGCTTGTATTTGGCCAAATGTCCCTTTATGGCTTCTTATCTCCTGTTTCCACCCACTTGAAATTTTACTAGAAAATTTTGTTAAATATATCCCTTTAATCAAGCTTCTGTTCTGCTCTAAGCTTTGTGCTACTGTTTCCTGGCTTACAGAAAAAAGTATGAACTCCGTTCTCTGGCATTTGAAACAGTCCTTTCTCTAGGAATCTGTCTCAGCCTCCAGCCTCAGCTCTTGCTATTTCCCTGTACAATCCTTCAGTTAATTATCGTATAGACCCATTATATTCTGAACACAGTAGAGAACTGTCTCTATGGTGTTTACTTGTTAAAAAAAATCTTGTATTTGGAAATAATTCTCAATTTACAAAAGTTAGTAAAATAGAGTATAAAGAACGTCTAGAGGGCTGGCCCCGTGGCTTAGCGGTTAAGTGTACGCGCTCCGCTGCTGGCGGCCCAGGTTCGGATCCCGGTCGTGCACTGACGCACCGCTTCTCCGGGCATGCTGGGGCCGCGTCCCACGTACAGCAGCTAGAGGGATGTGCAGCTGTGACATACAACTATCTACTGGGGCTTTGGGGGGAAAAAATAAATAAATAAAATTATAAAAAAAAAAAAAAAGAACATCTAGCTATTTTGTAGCCGGATTCACCCCTTTGTTTTATGATTTGCATTAATGTGTGCTTTCTCTTTCTTTCTGTCTCTACACACACATACACACACACACACTCTCTCTCTCTTCTGAACTATTTGAGAGTAAGTTACATATAGCATGCTTCTTTCCCCTAACACCTCTGCTGTATTTCCTAAGAATAGGGTCATTCTCATTGTTCAGTTATCAACTGCATAAATGGACATCGATACAAATCTGTTTTCCATCTTCCAGTTTTGTCAGTCGACCTGATAAAATCTCTTACAGCATTTCCCTCACTTCCTGTACAGAATCCAGTCTGGGGTCAGGTACTGCATTTAGTTATTATTTCTCTTTAGTCTCTTTTTTCCTGGAATATTTCCACAGCTTTTCTTTGTTTTTTATGACATTGACATTTTTGAAGAATACAGCCCTTCCCCCCTTTAATAGAATATTCTTCGTATTATGTTTGTCTGAAGTTTCCTTGCAATTGGATTGAGGTTATGCATTCTTGTCTGGAATACTGCATAGGTGATGTGATACCCTGAGAAAGATGCACAGCGTCTGGAGGCACATGATGTCTTCTATTCCTCATTGTGATGTTAATTTTGATCACTTGGCCAAGGTGTTGCCAGATTTCTCCACTGTGTAGTTTTTTTCCTTTTTCTTTTGCAAGCGATGAGCAGTCTGTGGGGCGACAAGGCGAATACCGTGATTCTCATCACAGTTTGCCCTAAATTTAGCATTCATTCATGGTTCTTATCTGATCTAATTTTTTACTGTGTTGCTTCCAAAATGGTCATTTTCTCATTCCAGCATTCCCTTCACTCTTACCAGTCAGCTCTTGGCGTTATTCTGTAATCAAGAGCTCTGTCTATCTGTATGGACTCATGATTTCCTATTTTTTGGATTGTTTACCATTTGTTACTCTAGTAATTATTTTGGTGCTCAAATCGTCCTAGGCTTGGATAGTGGAGCTCTTTTAATCCGGCTCCCGTCCTTGTGGGGAATCGTTTTGGAGACCAGGATCTCTGGTGGGTAGGTGTCCTCATTGCTGCTGGAGTGTCTTCTCTTCTTGACTCTTTCAGTGGACAGAGCTAGGAAATATGCGTCTATTTATACACACACATAAACATACTCGTACACATACACGTGTTCATAGCAACACGCTGATACATAGTTTAGAAACCGTTAGTTTATATCAGTATATCCAACTTCACTCCATGTCTACAGCGTTCTTCTTTGCACCCCTCATTTGATATTTTCATGTCCTTTTTTATTCCTTGAGAACCCTGGCTCCCAACATTGTCAGTATGTTTATTCATTTGCTCTATTCTATAATACATCTAAAATAATTTCAGAATTGTTTTGTGCATTTCACTATAATAAACAAGCTAACTTAAAGTGAGTGGAGAATTTGTATGTAGTTCTCCACTTCCCCCCAACCATCCTTGTCAAGACTGAGAATAATTTTTTTTTTTTTTTTGGGTAATTAAAAATGTTTAATTCTGGAAAGTTGAAATCTAGTACTGAATTTGAAAGCTTAGAATAAATTATGACTTTAATTTCCAGACCTTACATGCATTTCTTAATATGTACTTTTTGCCCCAGAAAGTGTCAGTATGGTAAAATATACTTTGATTCTTTTTTTATGGTCAAGACTGAGAATAATTAAATAAATAAATACTCTATTCTTAAATTACTGGAAATCAGCCCTCCCTCCTTCTTTCTTCCTTTCCTTCCCCTCCCCACTTTTACTTACCACCTTTACTTTCTGCATAATGTAGTTATGGTATTGATTTGAAATGAAATTAGGTTCATTTATTTGTTTTCTTGAGTTTCAAAGTTGTTTTTTTAATGCCCCTTCCCATTCTGATTGGTTTTATTTTTTAATATGTAGAATATGAATATGTTTTAAAGAGTCAAAATTTTACAAAAGATGCACGTTCCTTTCTGTATCCCTTCCACCCCATTTCTCCCATTTCTCATAGGTGACCAACTCCAATGTCTTCTGGTTCATCCTCCCTATGTTTTTTTAATAATGACAAGCAGATGTATGTATGTATGTTTTATTTTTTCGTTTTGTTTATACAAAAGGTAGCATACTATATATACTGTTTTGCACTTTGCTCTTTTCGCTTGCTAATGTCTCCTGGAAATAATGCCATATCATGCCAAAGAGATCTTTCCCATTCATTTTTTAAAAATTGTGTAAAATTTACATGACATAAAATTTATACTGTTTTTTATTTTTTAAAATTTTACCAAATTTTCTAACCATTTTCTAGCGTCCAGTTCAGTGGCATTAAGTACATTCACATTGTTGTTCAACTATCACCACCATCCATCTCCAGAATGTTTTCATCTTCCTAGACTGAAACTCTGTACCCATTAAACAATTCCTCATTCCCCCTTCCCCCAGCCCTTGTCTCATTTATTTTTTCACAGAGGTGTAGTTTTCGTTATGTGCATATACCATAGTTTATTCAAGCAATTTCCTATGTATGGGTATTATGTAGGTTGTTTCCAATATTTGCAATTAAAGTAATGCTGCAGTGAATAACCTTATGAATATATATTTTTGTATTGTTGGGAGTGTAACTTTGGGATAAATTCCTGGAAGTGAGACTGCTGTGTTGAAGGATAAAAGTATATGTAGTTTTTGTTCTAGACATTGTCAAATTACACTTCACAGGGATTATACTATTTTGGATTCCTGCCAGCAATGTATGAGAGACCCTCTTTCCCCACAGCCCCACTGTGAAAGTTTGTTCACTCTGCATAATGTTTTTTTAGATGCAGCAAAGTTACTACATGTATCGGTAGTTTCTTTTTATTGCTGAGTAGTATTCCATTGTGTGACTATACCACAACTTGTGTTTCTCGTTTTTGGCTATTAAAAATAAAGCTCTTATGCCATTCAAGTACAAGTCTTTTTTTTTTTTTTTAATAATTTTATTTATTTATTTATTTTTCCCCCCAAAGCCCCAGTAGATAGTTGTATGTCATAGCTGCACATCCTTCCAGCTGCTGTATGTGGGACGCGGCCTCAGCATGGCCGGAGAAGCGGCGCGTCGGCGTGCGCCCAGGATCCGAACCCGGGCCGCCAGCAGTGGAGCGCGAGCACTTAACCGCTAAGCCACGGGGCCGGCCCGAGTACAAGTCTTTATGTGGTTTTTTTTTTCCTCTTGAGTAAATACCCAGGAGTGCAATTGTAGGATCTTATGTTAAGTGTATGCTTATCTTTATTAAAAACTGTGCAACTGTTTTCTAAATTGGCTATACCATTTTATAGTCCACGTGCAATATATGAGAGTTTAAGTTCCACATCTTTCCTATGTGGTACTGTCAGTCTTTTTGACTTCAGCTAGTCTAGTGAGGTAGTAGTGGTATCACATCGTGGTTTCAGTTTGCATTTTCATAATTTTATTTATTTATTTATTTATCCCCCAAAGCCCCAGTAGATAGTTGTGTGTCATAGTTGCACATCCTTCTAGTTGCTGTATGTGGGACGCGGTCTCAGCATGGCCGGAGAAGTGGTGTGTCGGTGCGCGCCCGGGATCTGAACCCGGGCCGCCAGCAGCGGAGCGCGCGCACTTAACCACTAAGCCATGGGGCCGGCCCAGTTTGCATTTTCATGATGTCTAATGATATTGAGAAAAAGT